ACATGGCTCCAATGCCCCATTCCCAGGTGGCCTCTGCTTCCCACCCCTCAGGACAGTCACATCCCAGCTTTCCTGATCCCCAGAGCCAAGAGAAAGGAATATGGGATCTGCAGGGGCAGAGAAGGTGCTTCCAAAGGTGAATTAATTAAATCTAAGCCAACTAAAAGCTCCTGGGAGAATGGGAATGATCAGCCACAAGGACATCGGGGACAGCATGGCCTGGAAAAACATCCCTTGGATCAGAGAGATAAAAGTAAAGGGATTCTATAGGACAAAACGGAAGCAAACAACTCCCCAGCCCCTGCCTCAGGAGCAGCAAGTGTGGATTTTTGGGAAGCATCCAGGAGAAGGACTCCATGATCCTTGATCGGGATATTCCATGATTCTGTGACTCCACAACCCTGCCCAGGGGTTGGGACTCCACAGAGAAGGAAATCCTGGACTCAACAGGTTCTGTTTGCCAAAAGCAGAGGTTTGGGGATGCTCCAACCCCAGGGTGCCCCATCCCAAATCTTGGCTGCTGATGCCCAAGGATCTAATTCCACAGGAATCTTTTAGGAATCCAAAGCAGAGCGATGCAGGAACCCCCGACCAGAATCAAGGCTGTACCCAGACACTTCCCCTTTCACCAGCTGGCTCCAGATCCACCCCAATCCATAAAACCCCCCTTTTCCCTCAGGGATGTGCTGTCTCCGCAGGGCTGGGACGATCCCGAGCCCCCCAGGCTCTCCGGGGAGAGGATCTGGGGATCCCAAATCCGAGGCAGAGGCACCTCCCGCGGTGACGCAGCTCTGAAACAGCTTCTGCTTTTGGGGCTCCCCGATCCCGGCACCCACCTCGTCCTCCATGGAATTCCCTGGGAGCGTGGGCCAGAGCCGTGCTGGGAGAGCCAGGGGGGCTCTGGGGGGAAAGGGGGAGCTGTTCCCCTGGCTTTGGGGGAGCCAGGGCCGGAATGGAGGAGCTTGGGGCCAGGAAGTGCCACGGCCACAGTTTCCTCCCTCCCACGTGACAGGTGGAGCTGAGGGTGGAACTGGTGATGGGGCTGTGGCACGAACCCGTTCCCACCTCCCACCCCGCCTCCTGCACCCCTAAATCCCTGGGAACAGCCTGAATCCTTTGTGCTTTGCTGCTGCCACACCAGGATGGGAATCCCCCCAGCCCACAGGAGGCTGAGCCCTGGTTTCTCCTCAGAGTTCAGAGCTGGTTTGTCTCCAGCACCTGGGTCGAGACCAGTGGTTGGACTTGATGATGCCAGAGGCTTCTCCAGCCTTAATGATCCCGTGATCCACTGAGTCCATGGGTGGGAAAGCTTCTTCCTGCCCAGAGAAGCTGTGGCTGCCCCATCCCTGGAAGTGTCCAAGGCCAGGTTGGATGGGGCTTGGAGCAACCTGGGCTAGTGGGAGGTGGGCAAGGGGTGGAACTGGGTGATCCTTAAGGTCCTTCCAATCCAAACTATTCCATCATTCCATGATTCTATTTTGAGTTTTAGGTTTCACACTTGGAAAGCAAAGCTGGGAACGAGGCTACAACTCCCTGAAGAAGGAGGTTGGTTGGAGAAGCAGCAGCCCAAGCCCTGGTGGGTGGTTTGGGGAGGACGGGGCCATCCTGGGAATGGGAGCCAGGAGTCATTCCCATAGGAGCTGCTGGAGAGAGTCCAGAGGAGGCCCTGGAGATGCTCCCAGGGCTGGAGCCCCTCTGCTCTGGAGCCAGGCTGGGAGAGCTGGGGGGGTTCCCCTGGAGAAGAGAAGGCTCCAGGGAGAGCTGAGAGCCCCTTGCAGGGCCTAAAGGGGCTCCAGGAGAGCTGGAGAGGGACTGGGGACAAGGGACAGGGGGACAGGACACAGGGAATTGTTTCCCACTGGCAGAGGGCAGGGTTAGATGGGATATTGGGAAGGAATTCTTGGCTGTGAGGGTGGTGAGGCCCTGGCACAGGTTGCCCAGAGAAGCTGTGGCTGCCCCTGGATCCCTGGGAGTGCCCCAGGCCAGGTTGGACGGGGCTTGGAGCAACCTGGGCTGGTGGCAGTTTCTCTGTCACCCCTGTTCCCCATCTCCCAGTGACCACAGGCAGCTGTTTGCTCCCCCAGCAGCCACAGCACAGACACCCCAAAATCCACTTTATTGGCCCCCCAAACCCCCCAAGGAGCAGAGGGGCTCCAGCCCTGGCAGCATCTCCAGCAGCTCCACGTCCTCCTGCTGCTGTTTCCAGGGCTGGAGCAGCTTTGCAGGGGGGTCTCAGCTGAGGGGGCAGAGGGGCAGAATCCCCCCCTGTCCTGCTGTGGGATCAGCCCAGGGCATGGGGCTGGATCCATCCAGGGCATTCCCAAGCTGGAAAAGTCAGGAATGTCATGCTAACAGAGAATTCCTTCAGGGACATCGTGCAAGCTCTGGATCACCCGCAGCCATTGGATGGATTCCGGATTCAGACCAGCAGGAAAATCCTCCTGACAGGCAAATCACTCCCAGAAAATCCACCTCCACCTTTTCCTCTTCCCAGGAATAACCAGGCCGGGAGCATCCCTCCTCACCTGGGGCTCCAGGTGTGACCCCACCCACTCCCAGCCCCGGGCAGGCTCCCATGGCCCCGCAGGAATTCCGGATGGATCCGTCCTGCCCCACGGATCTATGAGAAACGGGAGTTTATCCCAAACCTGCCCAGGAAACAGCTCATTCCTGCTGGGATAACCACCAGTGAGATCCTGGGAACACCAGCTCCTGGCAGGAATTCCAGGCCCCCAGTTTAAACCAGTTCAGGCTTTACCCAAAGCTGAGCTGGGACTTTCCTGCTCATCCCAAACCTGCCCCGACATCCCTTTGGATCAGCACTTGAGGAACTCAGTGCCCTCACTTCAGCCCAGAACGCTGCTGGAATGATCCACGGGGGGGGAAAAAAACAGAGGGAAGAGTTTTCCCTGCAGCTGGAACAGCAGCTGGACACAGGGATGGATCCCCCCGACTCCACAGCTGAGTGATCTGGGTTTAATGGTGATCCACCACCAAAACCATGGAAAATTGGCTCCAAGGAAGCCCCATAAGCCCAGGAATCAGCCCAGGAGATGCCACAGCTCTGGAGGGGCTCAGGGATCAGGACAGGGATCAGGACAGGAACAGACAGGTCTGAGATTACCGGTGCAGGAGGGACTGGAAAATGTGGGATCAGCCGTGGGAATCCTCCTCATCCACTGGGATCACCCACAAAGCAGGAGGGAAACAGACTGGGGCAGCCAGGTCTGGACAGAAGGGACTGGAAAATGTGGGATCAGCCCTGGGAAGGGGCTGTGAGGAGGATTTAGGGATCAGAAGGAGGACAGGTGGGATCATCCAGGTGGGATGGAGAGCAGTGGGGGGATTAACTAACATGTCCAAGCACTTCAGAGGAGGATCCAGACTCCAAACTGGGATGTCCCAAGGAAGAGGTGGGACCCACAGCTGGGGTCACCCCACACCACCTGCAGCCTTGGGAGCCAAGTCCTTCCCAAAGGCAGGAGCATCCCGTCTCCAGGAGGGTAATTCCTCCCCCTACGGCACCAGGTGACACCAGGGGGGTTGAATTCCTAGGTCTGGCTCCATGGGAAGCCGGGATGGCAATGCCCCAAGAAATCCATCCATTTGCCCTCGCTCTGGGAATGTTTTGCTCAGTCCCAGGGAGAGGCTCAGCAGGAACCTGCTGCCCCTTCCCAGGATCCCTGGGAGTCCAGGGCCCCCCAAAAATATCTGATTTCTCCCCAAAATTACGGGATCAAAGCCCTCCCTGCTCCAGGATTGTGGAGCAGCTCCGGCTGAACTTCCCCCACAGGACTCAGAAATGGGCTGAAATTAGGGAAATTAGGGCAAGGTGGGAACAGGGGCAGCTGCTGAGACCCAGAGACACGAGGAAGTACAAATGTATAGAAGTATAAATGAACCGGTATAGAAATGAGATTAATTCACGTAAAGAGTTGATTTAAGTAAGTTAACAAACCCATAAATTAAGAGCTTCATAAATAATAACCCCATCAATTAATGATCTTCTCAACACCCCCACTCACATCGGGAGGAGGGTTTTTTTTTGAAGGGGCGGGATCCGAGCAGACCCCCGGGAAGGGGGATCCGGGAAACCCCCGGGAAGGGGGATCCGGGCCGGGGGTCCCGCAGGTCCCACGCCCGCGTTCGGGAGCGCCCCGCGCCGGGGCTGAGCGACCCCCGGAGGGGCCCCGCGGTGCCGCCGCTCTCACCTTCTTGCCCTTCTTGCCCTCCTCCTCCATGGCTCCGGCGGCGGCCCGGGCCCCCCTCGGGGCATCCCGGCCTGGCTGCGCGGCGGGGCCTCACTGCGCGGCGGCGGCGGCGGCGGCAGCCATGGCCCGCCCGGGTCCCGCTCCAGCCCCGCTTCCCACTCCCGTTCCCGATCCCGGCCCCGCTCCCGTTCCCGGCCCCGGCGCCGCCTCAGCGCCCGCGGCTCGGCCCCGCCGCCATCTTGGGCGGCGCCTTCCCGTGACGTCATCGGCCCGCCGCCAGGGGGAGAGGGCCGCCATGCGCACGCGCCGACCCTCCAGCGCCCCGAGCCACGCCCACCCGCGCCAAAGCCACGCCCCTCACCTGAAGAACCGCGCAATGGCCACGCCCACGACGCCGAGGCCTCGCCCTCCAAATAGCCACGCCCCCAGTTGATGGACCGTCGTGTTGGCCACGCCCACCACGCAGACACCGCGCCCCATTGTAACCCCGCCCCCAGCTGCTACACCGCTCTCAGGTCCCGCCCCCTTGTGACCACGCCCACCTACTGCCGTCAGGTGGCGCCGCCGCGCGTCGCGTCGCGGTGACGTCAGAGTCGGCGCGCGCGTTGTCTCGACCATGGCGGCGGCGGGAGGTGAGGGGCGACCGGTCGGGGCACCCGGCGACATCCGCCCGCATCCGCGCCCCGGGAGCACCGAGGGCTCCCCCGCACGGGGCCGTGAGGGGCGGTAGGCGCGGTGCACGCTGGGAAGGGCGGCGGGGGGATCCAACGGGATCCGGGGGCGATCCCGCCGCAGGCTCCAGCATGGTGGGGCCTGGCGTGGCCCCCGCCATTCCTGCAGCGCTGCTAGAGTATCCCGGGGCCGTTTGAGGCCTCTCCCGGCGCTTCCCGGGGGCGGTTATGGAACCCCCGGACACCCCCAGGGCCCGGGAGGGATCTGAGGGGGGACACGGGGGAGCCCTGGAACCCCCGGGCAGGGCCGGGGACATTCCTGCCTTTTCCCATTCCAGCCTCCTGCTCTGGGGACCCAGCCCCGTTGAGGAAGTCACCGGGAAGGAGAAGATGGATTCAGAGGACCTGTCACCGAAATTGGCGTTTTTGTGGTTAATTAATGCTACCTAATTAACGCTACTGAGGGCTCAGCCCCTCCTGTGGAGGGGACCCGGGGCACAGCCCTGTCCCTCCATCCCGGCGGGATTTCTCCGGAGTCACCACGTGTCCAGGTGAGCTGTCGCTGCTCTGCCCCATCTTGGTAATTCCCTCATTCCCTGGAATTACCTCTGCTAGCCCCGGCTGCCCAGGGAGTCCCCGGGGCTGGGATCCCAAGGGAATGCTTGGGGGGGGGGTGGCTACTGGGACCCTCCCAGTGACCCCGTGGGGCTGCGTTCCCAGGCTGTCCCCATGTCACCCCTTGCTCCGGCTGCGCCTTCCTAGAGCTTCCCATGGTTCTGGAGAGCCTGGGATCGACCGTGTCCGGGATCCCACAGCCCCTCCCGCCGCAGGCTCCAGCGTGGGGGGGCCTGGTGTGGCCTCTGCCATTCCTGCAGTGCTGCCAGAGTATACTGGGAATGTTTGAGGCCTCTCCCGGCACTTCCCGGGAGTGGTCATGGATCCCCCGGACACCTCTGATCCAGGGGGATAGGAGGGGAACCCCTGGAACCCCCAGGCAGGGCCAGTGACCTTCCTGCCCTTTCCCCTTCCAGGCTCCTGCTCCAGTGATCCAGAGGGATTTCGGAAGGCCCAGGAAGTGGGTGCAGTGCTCCTGTCACCGTAATTAACCCAGCTGTAGTTAATTAAAGCTGGAATCCCCCGGGAATGCTGACCTGGGACACTTCCCATCCCCGTGGGGTCCATCCGGTGTCATCCCTGTCCAGGGGAGGGTTGTCACCTTGTCACCTGCACCAGACCTGGGCAGCTCATCCCACCCTCCCTGTGCCAGCGCCCTCATCCCACAGGGATTTATCCTGCAGACGTGGATGGAAGGAGCAGCTGGGGCAACGTGGCACTTTCCCTGTGGGAGAACGTGGATCCAGCTGCACCAGAACCAGGGAATTAAACGTGAAACCATGATTTTTCCAATTAACAATTGAGAGCCTTTGTCTCCTTCTGTTTTAGGCAAAAGTGGGACTGGATGGAGGGGCTCCAGTTGTTGGAGTGGGGATTCCCAGGGGAGCAGGGACCCTCCCTGTGTCCCCGACAGGTCCAGGGTCACCTGGACTCACTGTCTCTATGTCCCAGGTCCTGATGTCCCTAGAGCCCACTGTCCCTGAGGCCCAGTGTCCCTGTATCCCTGGATCCTGATGTCCCCAGGGCCCTGTGCCCACATCCTGGTGTCCCCATGCCTGAAAAACCGGGACAAGTGGGCTGGGAAAACTGGGTGGGGAGTGGGTTTTTCCAGCTGGAAGATGGCTCCAGTCCCTGTGGGATCTGGGAAGCTCCCGAGGGGCTGCTCCTGTGCCAGAGCTCATCAAATCCTTCAATGAACGGATGGAATAATTCAATTAATGGGCCAAGTGATTCAGTTAATGGGGCAGATAAATTAATGGGTCAGTTAATTAATGGATCGAATTATTCAATTAACGAGTTCAATAAATGAATGGATTGTTGTAGGGTAAAAACTCTGGTTTTGTGATTGTTCCACATTGTTGGAAAAGGCCTGGGGAGAGGATGGGGCATCCCCCGGACCACCGAGGGGTCCTGGAGGCCTCCATATGCATCAAGGCAGTGAGAGAGCCACGGGAGGTGAGGAAAGGGGTAATTAACAGGGTAATTAACGGCGCCCGTGCAGGGAGGGTTTGGCAGGGCCTGGTACCGGGGGTTGCCATGGCAACCGACCATCCTCTTCGGGGGCGGAGCTTCGCCATGACAACACCCGTCTCCTCCAATCAGCGCCCGGGGCGTCGCCATGGTTACACCTGTCTCTTCCAATCAGCGCCGGCGGTGTCACCATGGTTACACCCGCTTCAGCCTATCAGCGTGGGCTGCGTCGCCATGGCAACAGGTCTTGTCCTGCCCCGAGCGGGCGTGGTCCCGGCGGTGGGCGGGGCGTCGCCATGGGAACGTCGCCGGAAGTGTCGCGGGGACTCGGTGTCCCGTGAGGCCCCGCGCGGTTCCGGCGGGCCGGGATCGGGATCAGCGGGATCACCGGGAGCGGGGCCGGGAGCGGCCGGGCCGCCATGGAGGCCGTGCCCCGCATGCCCATGATCTGGCTCGACCTCAAGGAGGCCGGGGAGTTCGCCTTCAACGCCGCCGTCAAGAAGGTGGGGTCGGGGGGGGCCTGAGGGGCGTGGGAGCGGCGGGGAGGGGCGGGGCTGGGAGGGGGAGCGGGGGCCGTGGGTCGGAGGGTCGCGGCTCCGTGGCGAGTTTGGGGTCCCTGAGGCTCTGGGGGGTCGTTTGAGGTCTGGGAGGGTGGGGAGGGCTTGGAGAGTGGGGTGGGCGTCTGGGGGCGGGGTTGGGGTCTGCGAGACTCGGGGGGAGGCACGGGGGGTCCGGGAGGGAGGGAGGGGTTGGAGACTGGGGCAGGGGGCTCAGGGGGTCTTTGGGGTCTGGGAGGCTCAGGGGTTTTTGGGGTCTGTGAGGCTCGGGGCGGTGTTTGAGGTCTGTGAGGCTCGGGGGTGCCCAGGGAAGGCCAAAGCGGGTGGGGGGGCCGGTTTGGGGGTCCCTGGGGCAGCGGGGAGGTGAAGCGGGGGGGGCTGTGGGTCAGCGCAGCGGGTCGGGGGAGTTCCGGAGAGGGGGGAACCGGGGCGGGGCTGCTGGGGACCCTCGGGGGGCTCCGGGGTGGGAGAGGCGGGGAGGAGGTGACACGAGGGCGGGGGGTTCCCCCCTTCCCGGAGCCCCCCGAGGTCTGGGGGGGCCCGGCCCGGCCCTGTCACCCCCAGGGGGACCTGAGTAATTAATCCCTTAATGACGAGGTGTAAACAAGCCCCGCCCCTGCCCGGCTCTCCCCGTGCCGGGATTCATGGAAGGGCAGGAGGATTGGGGAGGTTCCCCCCGTGTTTCCCTCACTCCCTCCGCGGTTTGAGGGGGGGACTCAGGGCGCAGATGGCCCTGGGAGTGTCCCCAACCTGCCTCACCTGCGGGGGTCGGGGGGGACCTTCTCCCTTCCCGCAACTTCCTTTTCCAACCTCAGCAATTCCTGGATTCCCTCCCTTGCCCGCGGGGATGGAACTCGTCCCTCGGGGGGTCGGAGCGTTTTCGTCCCCGAGCCCCCCTGGCCCAGCCCGGGGTCCCCCACCCCCGCTGGCCCCCCCGGGGGTCTCCGGGCCCCTCACCCCCCTCCCCTCCCGCAGTTTGTCCTGAAGAATTATGGGGAGAACCCCGAGAACTACAACGAGGAGCTGCGGAAGCTGGAGCAGCTCCGGCAGGTGAGGGGGGACCTGCCCGGGTGGGGCCCTCGGGGGAGGCTCTGCCGACCCCCCCTCACCCCGCTCCGTGTTCCCAGAGCGCCGTCAGCGTTCCCAGGGATTTCGAGGGCTGCAGCACCCTGCGGAAGTACCTGGGACAGCTGCACTTCCTGCAGAGCCGCATTCCCATGGGAGCGGGGCAGGACGCGGCCGTGCCCGTCACATGGTGAGGGGAACCCCTCGGGGAACGGGGTCCTGTCCTGGGGTGACACAGTGGGATCCCAGGGACCCCGTGGGGAACCATGTCCTGCCCTGGGGTGGCACAGGGAGGTCCTGGGAGCCCTCGGGAAATGGCGTCCTGGCACAGGGGAGTCCTGGGGACCCCTTAGGGGATGGGATTCTGCCTCGGGGTAGTACAGAGGGGTCCCAGGGAACCTCTGGGAAATGGGATGCTGTGCCAGGGGGGCTCTGGAGGACCCCTTAGGGAACGGGCTCCTGGCACAGGGAGGTCCTGGGGACCCCTCAAAGATCAGTGTCCTGCCCCAGGGTGGATCCCAGGGAACCTTTGGGGAGCAGTGTCCTGCACAGGGGGTTCCCAGGGACCCTTGGGGAGCAGGGCTCCCGACACATCCTGCTTCTGGGAGAATCCCTGGTTGTTCCCTGTCCTGTGACCCCCTTTTCCCCCAGGACCGAGATCTTCTCGGGGAAGGTGGTGACACATGAGGACATCAAGTACGAGCAGGCCTGTGTTCTCTACAACCTGGGTGAGGAACGGGACCCCTCCCCACCTGGGACCTGCTGGGACCTCCCTGCTCCATTCCTGGGGCTGGGGGGGGGTCCCTGCCCCACTGAGCCCACCCTGTCCCCACAGGAGCACTGCATTCCATGCTGGGAGCCATGGACAAGAGAGTGTCTGAGGAGGTAACAGCCCCAGAGAACCCAGAGACAGCTCTGCCCCACGGGGGGTGTGACAGGGCAGGGACTGTCCCTGTGCTGGGAACTGGGAGGACACACCTGGAATCCTGGGGGCAGGTTTGGGGGCTCCAGGAACAGGTCATGGAGGGGCTGGAGCGTGTCCAGGGAAGGGAAGGGAATTGGGGAAGGGGCTGGAGCAGCAGGAGGTGAGTGGGGACTGCAGGGGGACAGGAGGGTGAAGCTGGGGTGGGTCGGGCTCTGCTCCCAGGGAACAAGGGACAGGAGGAGAGGGAACGGCCTCCAGCTGTGCCAGGGGAGGCTCAGGTTGGATATTGGGAAAATTCCTGCTGGGAAGGGCTGTCCAGCCCTGGCACAGCTGCCCAGGGCAGGGGTGGAGTCCCCATCCCTGGAGGGATTTCCAAGCCCTGTGGATGTGGCACTTGGGGACATGGTCAGTGGTGGCCTTGGCAGTGCTGGGGATCAGGTGAACTCTGGGAAGTCTTTCCCAACCCCAACAATTCCATCCCCTCAGGGCATGAAGGTTTCCTGCACCCACTTCCAATGTGCTGCCGGTGCCTTCACCTACCTGCGGGATCACTTCCCACATTCCTACAGCGTGGACATGAGCCACCAGATCCTCAGCCTCAACATCAACCTCATGCTGGTGGGAACTGGGGGCACTGGGCACACTGGGACACCTCGACCTGTGTCCACAGGGTTGGGTGTTCCCTGGGGATCCAAGGAGCTGGGACCCCAGTGTCCCACGGGGAGTTGTCTGTGGGATCTGGGCTCCCTCCAGGGGGGAAAGGATGTTTTGGGGAGCAGTGGGAGTCAGGGAAGGGTCTGTGACTTTCCTGGTCTCTCTGGGCACCTTGGGACTGATATTACCTGTGCCTCCTTGAACTCTCAGGAAAGGGGCTGGAGCTGGGGGGTCCTGCTGGAGTTCTGGGGTGTCCCAAGGGTTGGGGACACTGAACATTCCCCCTCTTGTCCCTGGCAGGGCCAGGCACAGGAGTGTCTCCTGGAGAAGTCCATGCTGGACAACAGGAAGAGCTTCCTGGTGGCCCGGATCAGTGCCCAGGTGAGCTCCAGGAGCTGCTCCCAGCACAATCCAGGGAGAGGGAACTGCAGAGGGACTTTGGGCAAGGGCCTGGAGGGACAGGACACAGGGAATGGCTGCCCCCTGCCACAGGGGAGATTTGGGTGGGATATTGGGAAGGAATTCTTGGCTGTGAGGGAGGCGAGGGACTGGAATGAATTTCTCAGAGAAGCTGTGGCTGCCCCATCCCTGGAAGTGTCCAAGGCCAGGTTGGACGGGACTTGGAGCAACCTGGACTGTGGACAGGTGTCCCAGTGATGTCCCCAGTTCCTGGCTCTGATCCCAAACACATCCCTGAGTTCCCCACCGGAACCGTTTTTCCGGGCGATCCAAATCCCTGGGCCGGGGCCGGCGCCTCCCCCTTGCCCTCCCTGCTGTGGATCCCTGGGATCCCCAGGTGTTCCCGGGGTGCCCCAGCCCTGTCCCCCCCCCCAGGTGGTGGATTACTACAAGGAGGCCTGCAGGGCGCTGGAGAACTCGGAGACGGCGTCGCTGCTGGGCAAGATCCAGAAGGACTGGAAGAAGCTGGTGCAGATGAAGATCTACTACTTTGCTGCCGTGGCCCACGTGAGTGGGGAGGGGCTGGGGGGCTCCCCTCCCGCCTCGGGCTGATCCCTGGGCTTTTCCTGCCCCTCTCGAAGCTCTCCCTGGAGTCACAGAGCTCTCATCCCTGTTTTCCTGCAGCTGCACATGGGGAAGCAGGCCGAGGAGCAGCAGAAGTTTGGGGAGAGGGTAAGCAGGGCCACGTCATCCCATGTCATCCACTCCAGGCTCTGGAGCGTGGTTCTGGGAAGGGGGTTGTGTCTTGGGAGAGGTTGGCATGTTGGGCATCCGTGAGTGTCTCACCCGTGCCCTGTGTCCTGCCAGTGCCTGGGAAGCTCTGGCCCTCAAAGACTGGTGTCCCTGTGCAGGGCAGGGACATTTCCTCCCGTGCCAACCCCAATTCCCGCTCTCTCCACAGGTCATCTACTTCCAGAGTGCTCTGGATAAGCTCAATGAAGCCATCAAGCTGGCAAAGGTGTGTTCCCAGGAGCAGGGATTGGGGGCTGCCAGGCTGGGAAGGGGAGGATTGGGATGGCTTTAAGAGGCTTCAGCTGCCCCCAGGCCTCTCCATTCCTGTCTGGAGCACAGCAGGAGGTGCCTGGGAGGCTCTGGGAACACTGACAGTGATTCCTGCTCTCAATTCCACAGGGCCAGCCCGAAACCGTGCAGGAAGCCCTGAGGTTCACCATGGATGTGATTGGTGGGAAGTGAGTGTGGATGGGGCACCCCAGGGTGGTGTATCTGTCCTTCTCCAGGGATTGGGAATGCTGGGGGACAGGGAGCCTGGGGAGTGTCCTTGGTGTCCCCATTGCAGAGCCCAGCACTGCTCTGGGAATGAACGGCTGCTGCGGGAATGCTGGAGCAATCCTGGGAGACCTGGGGGGGCTGATCCCAGTGGGAGCCAGCTCAGGCAGCTGGGAATGCCGCCCACTGCTCCTGACAAGGCATCGCTTCCCAATTCCAGGTACAATTCCGCCAAGAAGGACAACGACTTCATCTACCATGAGGCCGTGCCCGCGCTGGACACCCTGCAGTCTGTCAAAGGTGGGCAGTGGGACACACCCCAGGGGCTCCCTGGGCACAGGGATCCGTGTGGGAGTGGTGCCAGCCAGGGCTGTGTCCCGCAGGTGCCCCCCTGGTGAAGGCTCTGCCCGTGAACCCCACGGACCCTGCGGTCACCGGCCCCGACATCTTTGCCAAGCTGGTGCCCATGGCTGCCCATGAGGCCTCCTCCCTGTACAGGTGTGTCTGGGGTGGATGGGGTGGGATGGGATGGGATGGGATGGGATAGGATGGGGGTGTCCATCCCAGCAAGGACCCCCTGTCCCAGCTCGGGCTCTGCAGGCTGGAGGAGCTGCAGGGGACCAACGTCACAGCAATGTGTGGCCCCCCCAGGGCTGGACGAGGCTCCAGCCAGTCCCCAGGGGCGACCAGGGCTCGGGGGACCCAGGGACCCCCCGGGCTCAGGGATCCTGGCAGAGGTTTCCCTGCACTCATGGGATGTTTTGTCCTGTCACAGCGAGGAAAAGGCCAAACTGCTGCGGGACGTGATGGCCAAGATCGAGGCCAAGAACGAAGTGCTGGAGTACGTGAGGGGACTGGTGGGGCCCTCCCACCCCTCAGGGGCCCCGCGGGTCCTGGGCTTTGGCAGGGGGGACACGGCCACCCCTCAGGGACCCCTCTGTGTCCCACAGCCAGTTCATGGACTCCATGCAGCTGGACCCCGAGACCGTGGACAACCTGGACATGTACAACCACATCCCGGCCGTGCTGATGGAGAAGTGTGCTGCCCTCAGCGTGCGCCCCGACACCGTCCGCAACCTCGTCCAGTCCATGCAGGGTGAGGGAACGGGGGGCATGGGGGTGGCACTGCTCCCTGCCCCAGCTTGGCACTGGGAATGGCTGCACCAACAGCCAGTTCTTTACTGGTATGAATTCCTGAATCCCAAAGTGTTTTTTCCCTGTTGGATGGCAGGGGGGTGACCCTGAGGGGGTTGGTGCCCAGGAGCGCCCACCACCCCGCTGTCTGGGCTGCCATGTCCCTGCCTTGGGCTGCCCACAGCCGGGTTTAATCCTGAGATGCCGTGTCCGTGCCCGGCTCCAGGCCCAGAGCAGTCGGGAGGTGTCCCAGCCCCGCTCCCTGTGTCCCCCCAGTGCTCTCCGGGGTCTTCACGGACGTGGAGGCGTCGCTGAAGGAGATCCGGGACCTGCTGGAGGAGGACGAGGCGCAGGAGCGGAAGCTGCAGGAGCTGCTGGGGCGGGTCCCGCCGGCGCCGGGGTCCCCCCCGGGGCTGGCCGAGGTGAGCAAGGAGTGCTCCAAGTACCTGGAGCTGCACGAGAAGGCCAGTTTCACCAACACCGAGCTGCACCGTGCCATGAACCTGCACCTGGGCAACCTGCGCCTGCTCGGCGGCCCCCTGGAGCAGGTCCGGGCCGCGCTGCCCACCCCCACCCTGAGCGAAGGTGAGGCCTCCCTGTGCCCCCCCTGGGCTGAATCTGTCCCCCCGGACTGGGGGAGGGAGGGTTGCTCTCCCTGTGCCACTCTGGGGGTCTACCTGTCCCCACCACACCCCAGGCTGGGGGGAGGCAGGGCTGTAACCCCCTGAGGTTGGGTGTGCCACCCTGGGCTGGGGGAGGCAGGGCTGTCCCTCCCTGTGCCCCTCTGGGGGTCCCTGGGTGTCACTGGGCGCTGGCACCGTCCGTGTGAGCTGGTTGTCCCCGTGGAAATGTGACAAGTGGGGCCTTGTTTGGGGACAGAGCCCTGGTCACTGTTCCAGGGTGTGGCCCCTCACCCCTTGGGGTGAGGTCCCTTGGGGTCCAGCCTGACCCCTGACCCTGTCCCACCCCCAGATGACAAACAGGTGCTGCAGAACCTGAAGCGAATCCTGGCCAAGGTGCAGGAGATGCGGGACCAGCGGATGTCCCTGGAGCAGCAGCTGCGGGAGATGATCCAGAAGGACGACATCACCACCTCGCTGGTCACCACCGACCGCTCCGAGATGAAGGTGGGGCTGGGGACACGCCCGTTCCCCCCGCAGGGGCTGCTCAGGCCCCGAGCCCCACGGACCCTTCCCTGTCCCGGCAGAAGCTCTTTGAGGAGCAGCTCAGGAAGTACGACCAGCTCAAGGTGTACCTGGAGCAGAACCTGGCGGCGCAGGAGAACGTGCTCAAGGCCCTGACCGACGCCAACGTCAAGTACGCAGCCGTGCGCAAGGGCCTGGCCGAGGTGGAGCACAAGTGAGTGCGGGGGGCTCGGGGCCCAGCAGCAGGGCTGGGCTCACCCCTGGCTTCCCCCGTCACACCCCTGTGCTGGGAGCCGTGCCCGTGGCTTTGTCCTGCTCCCATGTCCATCCCAGCGGGAGCTGGTGGGTCACCCGGGAGCCTGGAGCTGGGACCAACCTTTATACGGGTAGTCCATCCCCTCTGTGCCCCTTTCCCAGGTGGAACACCACCGTCCAGACGCTGGTGGCCTCCTACGAGGCCTACGAGGACCTGATGAAGAAGTCCCAGGAGGGGAAGGATTTCTACACGGACCTGGAGGGGAAGGCGGCCAAGCTGCTAGAGCGGGCACGGGCCGCGTGCCAGGCCAGCCAGGCCCAGCGGCAGCAGCTGCTCGAGAGGTGGGTGCTGACCAGAGCCTGGGGGGCTGCTGGGACCCCCGGGAGGGGGAAAGGGCCTCAGGGTGCTCTGCGTGGTGGCTCGGGGGTCCCAGTGCCCATGGAGGGGGGTGGTGGGCAGGCGGTGCCCAGCCCTCCCTGAGCCCCACCTGCCCCCCTCAGGGAGCTGAAGAAGCAGCCGCCCCCCCGGCCCACGGCCCCCAAGCCCCCCCTGCAGAAGAAGGCACTGGAGCTGGAGCCCGGGGGCTCCGAGGCCGCAGATTTGGGCTCCCTGGGGCTGCCGGACCTGCCCGAGGAGCTGCGGAGCCTCCCCCCGGAGCTGCTGCCCGGGCCCCTGGCACAGCTGCCCCCCCCCAGCACTGGCCGCCCTGGCTGGGGGGCTGCGGCCCCCCGAGCCCTTCGTTCCTCCAGGGGGGGTGGCCAGCGCCCCACTGCCCCCCCTGGCCCCCACGCCCCCGTTCCCGGGGCACTACCGCCTGCCCGGGCCCCCCGGCCCCTTTCCCCCTGCGGGAGGGGCCCCGGGGCAGCTCCTGCAGCCCTCTGCCCCGGCCGGGCCCGTGCCCAGCTCGGCCCCGGCCCCGCCCCAGCTCTTCCCGGCCGCCCCCCTGATCCGCGCTCCGGCCCAGCCGCCGTTCGGGGGGCCCCACGTGCTGCCCCCGCGCTCGTCCCCCCAGCACGGGGCCCTGCCCGCCCCCGCCTACGGCCTGGGCCAGCCCGGGGGGGCCCCCGGCCCGCTCCGCCCCCCCGGCCCGGGGGCAGCTCCCCTGGGTGCCCAGCCGGGGGTGGGCGGCCCCGAGCCCCCGGGCACCCGCCCGGCCACCACCACGGTGGACAGTGTGCAGGCCCCCATCTCCAGCTGCACCGCCCCTCCGCGGGGACCCCCGGGCCCCTTTCTGCCCCCCCAGCGCCCGGCGGGGCCCCCGACCCCCTTCCCCTCCCCCCCGGGGGGGGTTCAGCCCTTCGTGGCGCCGGCTCAGCACCCCTTCCCCCCGGCACAGCCCCCCCACACCTTCGCCCCCGCCCAGGCCCCCCAGCAGTTCCCCCCGGGGCCGTTCCTGCCCCCGGGCCCTGCCCAGGCCCCGCTGCCCTTCCAGCAGCCACCCCCCCGGCCCTCCCTCGCCCCCCCCGCCCCGCCCCCCCCGCAGCCCTTCGCCGGTCCCGGGGGGCAGCTGCCCCCCCCCGCCCCCGGGCAGCCCCCGCTGCCCCCCCAGCTCTACCAGCTCCCAGGGCAGGACCAGCTGCCCCCGCCGGGGCTCGCCCCGCACCCGGGGGCCGTGCCCTTCCCCAGGGCCCCTGCCCAGGGCGGTCCCGCGGCGCTGGGGGGGCTCCCGGCCGTGCCCCCCGGCTCCCCCGCGCTGCCCTTCTGCCCCAGCCCGGCCCCCCCCGGCGCTCAGCTGCCCCCCGGCTCCATGGCCGCCCCCGCCCAGGCGCCCCCGCCCAGCCCCGTGCCGGGCACCGTGGTGGTCCAGGGCCCCCTGGTGCCGTCCCCGGCCCCCTCCCCGGTGCCGGCCCTGCCCGTGCAGCCCCCGGCGCCGCGACCCCCGCCCGCGCTGCCGCCGCCGGGCGCGGGGGACGCGGCGTTCCCGCGGCAGAGCCCCTGCCCCGCGGACCTGCTCTCGTCCAGCCCCGAGAGCCAGCCCGGCGGGGCGGCAGCCGGGGGGCTGCTGCAGCCCACCAAGGCGGGCGCGCAGGAGGGGCAGCGGCCGCGGGCCGTGCAGGTGATCGAGGCGGACCCGTACGCGGAGCCCGAGCGGGTGCAGCGGCTGCGGGCCGAGCTGGAGCGGTTCCGGGCCGCGGCCGAGCGGCTGGAGCGGCCCGTGCCCGGCGGAGGCTCCGAGCTGGACGCGCTCTGGAAGGAGCTGCAGGAGGCCCAGGAGCGGGACGCCCGCCAGCGCTCCATCGCCATCGCCCGCTGCTACTCCATGAAGAACCGGCACCAGGACATCATGCCCTACGACCGCAACCGCGTCGTGCTGCGCTCGGGCAAGGACGACTACATCAATGCCAGCCGCGTGGAGGACCTGTCCCCGTACTGCCCCGCCCTCATCGCCACCCAGGCCCCGCTGCTCGGCACCGCCGCCGACTTCTGGCTCATGATCTACGAGCAGAAGGTCTCCGTGGTCGTCATGTTGGTGTCCGAGCAGGAGCTGGACAAGGTGCGTCCTGTCCCGGGTGAGGGACAGCGGGGATGGCCGGGGCAGGGCCCCCGGGGATGGGACACCCTGCCTGCTGCCTCTCGCCCTCGTGTTGCGCACGGGTGTCACCGGGGGGCCCGTGGGGGGGAATGGCCCCGGCAGCGTGTCCTGACGCCCGTCCCCCGGCAGAAGGTGCTGCGGTACTTCCCGTCGGAGCGGGGCCAGCCCGTGGCTCACGGCCCCCTGACCCTGGTGCTGACCAGCCTGCGGGTGACCCCCACGCACGTGGAGCGGATGCTGACGCTGCAGTACCGCGACCAGAGCCTCAAACGCACCGTGGCCCACCTCCAGTTCACCTCCTGGCCTGAGCTGTACGGAACGGGCGGGCAAGGGGGGCTGGGGGGGTCGCAGGGGAGGGCCTGGGAGGCCTGATCTGCTGGGGGGGCTGTGGGACCAGAGCTCTGAGTGTGGGACGGTGTTTGGGCAGCCCGGACGCCTCCTGGGGGGGCTGAGCGCAGGGACTCCCCAGTGAGCGTGTCCCCCCAATCCAGGGGCCTGCCCGACAGCAAGGGGAGCCTCCTGCGCTTCATCCAGGAGGTGCACGGGCACTACCTGCACCAGCGCCCGCTCCACACGCCCGTCGTGGTGCACTGCAGGTGAGCGGGGACGGGGCTCCCGGGGTGGGGTGGGGTCTCCCCCCTCGTCTCTCGGGGTGTCACAGCCGGGGGTCTCTCCACAGCTCCGGCGTGGGCCGCACGGGGGCCTTCTGCCTCCTGTACGCGGCCGTGCAGGAGGTGGAGGCCGGGAAGGGCATCCCGGACCTGCCGCAGCTGGTGAGGCGCATGCGGCAGCAGCGCAAGCACATGCTGCAGGAGAAGGTACCGGGCACGGGCTGCGGCCCTTCGGGGGCTGGGGGCAGGGGCTGCAGCCCCCCCGGGCTCTCACCGCGTCCCTCTCCCCTGCAGCTGCACCTCAAGTTCTGTTTCGAGGCCGTCCTGCTCCACGTGGAGCAGGTGCTGCTGCGCCACGGCGTGGGGACCCCCGCGCTGCCCAAGCCCCCCAACAGCACCTCACCCAAGGTGGGTACGGGGGGAGTACCGGGGGATTGGGGGGGGGCTCTGCCACCCCGGGGCTCACGGGGCTGCTCTCCCCCAGCTCTACTTCCAGCAGGACCCCCAGGACCTGGTGCTGGGGGGGGACGTTCCCATCAGCTCCATCCAGGCCACCATCGCCAAGCTCAGCATCAAACCGGGGGGGCCCAGCACAGAGCCCGGGGGGGGCTGGGGGGCGGATCCCACCTCCCCTCCGGACCCCACGGACCCCGAGGTGCCACCAGTGCTCCCCGACGGCGTCGTGGACGGTGTGGGTGCCTCCCTCCCCGAGTCCCCGGCCCCGGGGCCGCCCCTCCCCGAGGCACAGGGTGACGCCGAGAGCAGCAACCACGTGGGGGAGAGCCCCGAGGGGCCGGGGGGGCCACCAGAGCCCCCCGCCGCCCCCCCCGCCCCCCCCTCCTCCTCGCTGGAGCTGCTGGCGTCGCTGACGCCCGAAGCCTTCAGCCTGGACGCCTCCCTGAAGGGCAAACAGCGCATGAACAAGCAGAACTTCCTCCAGGCACAGCCGGGCGAGGGGCTCCGCGGGCCCCGGCCCAGCGACGACCCCCTGAGCATGCTCGACCCCCTCTGGACACTCAACAAGGCGTGAGAGGGGCGGGGGCCCCCCGGCCCCCCCAGCTCCACTTTGACTCCAGGTAGAACTGACTTTTTCAGCTCTTTGCTACTAAAATAAAGCGAGTTTATCGGCCGGGCGCTGGTGCTGCTGTGGGGCTGTGCCCCGGGGGGGCTCAGCCGGGCTCGGGTTAGTTCCGTTTAATGGGCGTTCTCGCACACGTTATAAAACACGTCGGTACAAAAAGCGTCCCCTGTACAGCACAAAGGTACAGCTGGGCGAAGGCCACCCGCGGGGGCCGGCCTGGGGGGCCCACCAGGGCTGCGGGGCCCCTGTGCCGGGGCCGGCACCGCCTCTACAATCACCGGGGGTCGAGAACAGGCGTCATCGGCGTTCGGGGGGCGCGGCAGGACGGGCGGGGACCCCCCCGGCCCGGGGAGGGGCTGCAGCGGGGCCTGTAGTGCAGTGGGGAGGGGAGTGCAGCCCCCGGCCCGCAGTGGGTGGGGGGCTCTGGGGGCAGCCCCGTGCCCGGGGTGGTGCCTGCCCGTGGTTGGTCCCGCCCAGGGGTCCCTCCCCAGCACCTGCAGGAGCGTGGGCGAGGCTCCCGCCCCTCCCAACCTGAGAAAAGCCTCCTTTGGCCTCGTAGCAGGAGGAGGAGGAGGAGGAAGGTGCTATTGCTGCAAACGGGGCGCAGGAGGGACCGGGCAGGGTGGCTGTGCTAGGGTGAGGGGGGTGCTGGCCCCCCGTGCCCCCCTGCCCCAATAAATAAGAACTATTTACAGCATATAAATAAATAGGGCAGGGCTGCTGCGGCCGGGGCGGGGCTGGGAGGGGCCCTGCCACGCCCTAAGGCACGTGGGGGCCGAGCCACGCCCGGGGGTCGGTCCCGGCCCTCTCCCCGCTGCCCCCGGGGCTCTCTGGAGGCCGTTCCGTGCCCTGGCAGGTCAGCGCTGGGAGCCACCACCACTGTCCCCCCCCTGCCCTACCCTGTGTCCCCCTGTGTCCCTCTGTACCATCCCACTGCCTGGGAGCCCCCGGGGACGGCAGGGAAGCTGCTGGAACAGGGAGAGGAGCAGGAAGGTGGGGCCCTGCCGGGTGTCTGAGGTGGGAAGGTGCCGGAGGCACGGCCGGAGCGATGGAGCCGCCGTCCCGTCCCCTGGGGCCGAGCCCCCCCTGGGTCCCGCCTGCCCCTGCTCCTGCTCAGTCCAACTTCTCGAGCACGGAGGGCACGTAGAGCAGGCTGAGCTCGCTGCCGAAGTTGCAGACGATGGCGGCGTTGTCCAGCACCAGGATCTGCCGCGCCGGCTGCGCCTCGTGGCTCTTGCCCAGGTACACGGTCTGCAGCAGGTCCCCGTAGCCGATGTCCCAGAAGGACACGCAGCCCTGGCCCCCCGTCACCAGCACAGAGTCGGAGATGACGCCCAGGCTGGCGCCACAGCCCAGCTCCTGTGGGGGACGGGACGGGAGCTGAGCCACGGGTTGGGAACGGGAGAGAGCTGAGTTCTGGTTCTGGGGTGGGGAGAGCTGAGCCCCGGTTTTGGGATGGGGAGAGCTGAGCCCTGGGGGTTTGGAATGGGGCAGAGCTCTGCTCCTGGGGAACAAGGGACAGGACGAGAGGAAATGCCCTCAGGTTGTGCCAGGGAACGTTTGGGTTGGCATTGGGAAAACTCCTCATGGAAAGGGCTGCCCACCCTTAGCACAGCTGCCCCGGGCAGGGGTGGAGTCCCCATCCCCAGAGGGATTTCAAAGCCCTGTGGGTGTGGCACTTGGGGACATGGGCAGTGGTGGCCTTGGCAGTGCTGGGGATGGTTGGACTGGATGATCTCAGAGGGCTTTTCCAACCCCAACAATTCCCCGCTGCCCCGGCTGTCCCTCCCCAGTGCCCCCAGTGCCCACCTGCTGGATGGAGTAGAGCTTGGTGCCCGAGCTGCGGTCCCAGATGCTGATGACGTCGTCCAGGCCGCTGCTGATGACGCAGGACGTGGTGCAGGTCAGGGACGTGACGTCCCCGCGGTGGGCGAACATGTGGCTCACCCGGCTGCCCGTCAGCACGTCCCACAGGCAGATGGCCCCGTCCTGGCCCCCGCTCGCCAGCACCATGGTCTGCAGGGACACCAGGAGGGGGTCAGGACCCCGAGGGAGGGGACGGTGCCCAGGCTGGCTCCGCACACCGGCATTCCCAGCGCTCCCAGGCTGCGGAAGGCCGTGGGAATGTGGGGTGGAAGCCTGAACTGCCAGCTCAGGGGTTCCCTGCCTTAGGGATGGGGCAGGGATGGTTTCAAGGATGGTCTCAGGATGAGCTCAGGGATGCTCTCAGGGATGGGGCAGGGATGGGTCAGGGATGAGCTCAGGAATGGTCTCAGTGATGCTCTCAGGGATGAGCTCAGGGATGCTCTCAAGGATGGGGCAGGGATGCTCTCAGGGATGGGTCAGGAAGGTCTCAAGGATGGGGCAGGGATGCTCTCAGGGATGGTCTCAAGGATGGGTCAGGGATGCTCTCAGGGATGGTCTCAGTGATGGGTCAGGGATGCTCTCAGGGATGCTCTCAGGGATGGTCTCAGTGATGGGTCAGGGATGCTCTCAGGGTGGTCCCACCCCCCCGTACCTGGTCCATGTACACGGCTGTGATGGCTCCCGAGTGGCCCTGCAGGGTGAAGAGGCAGCAGGAGTCCTCCAGCCGGAACACCTGGGGCAGGACAGGCAGGTGAGGGGGGGGCTCCGGGGCAGCCGCTGTGGGTGGTGCCACCTGAGCCCCCCATGACCCAGCAGATCCACCTGATCCCTGTCCCGGCAGAGCCAGAGCCTGGCAGTGATTCCAGAGGCCTCGGGATGGTGCTGCCAGGGCAGGGGTAGGTCAGGGCTGTCATGAGGTGACAGGGCAGGGACGGGACATGCAGGGCTGAAGGGGATGGGGAGGGGACAGGGGGCACCCTGGAACAGAGACCCTGATATTTGTGTTGGGTCACAGCAATCCCCTGCAGCTCCAGGACTGGCAGTGCCTGGAAAGCTGGAAAAAGCCCTGGGGGTGCTGGTGACAGTGGCTGGACATGAGCCCAGGTGGGCAGGAGGGCAGTGGCACCTGGCCTGTGTCACCATAGTGTAGCCACAGGCCCAGGGCACTGCTGGGGCACCTCCAGCCCTGGGGGCAGTGCTGGGGAGTCCAGCATAGGACACTGAGGGGCTGGAGCATGTCCAGGGAAGGGAACGGAGCTGGGAAGGGGGTGGAGCAGCAGGAGAGGCTGAGGGAGCTGGGGGGGCTCAGCCTGGAGAAAGGGAGGCTCAGGGGGGACCTTCTGGCTCTGCAACTCCCTGACAGGAGGGGGGAGCCGGGGGGGAATCGGGCTCTGCTCCCAAGGAACAAGGGACAGGAGGAGAGGGAACGGCCTCAGTTGGAGGTTCAAGTTGGATACTGGGAAAATTCCTTCCTGGGAAGGGCTGTCCAGCCCTGGCACAGCTGCCCAGGGTAGTGGTGGGGTTCCCATCCCTGGAGGGATTTCAAAGCCCTGTGGATGTGGCACTTGGGGACATGGTCAGTGGTGGCCTTGGCAGTGCCGGGGGAGTGTTGCACTCGATGGTCTCAGAGGCACTTTCCAACCTCTGCAATTCCATGATCCTCTGAAGCCCACCATCCCACAGGGATCCCACGCTCAGCTCAGGGTGACGCTCACGGGCTCTTGTCCTTCCAGCTCCACTGGTGCCACATCCGGGCACGGACAGAGCCTGTGGAGCTTCCGGAATGTGCCGTGTTGGCTCCAAGCCCCCTCCCCAGGCTCCCCCCCCCCCTGCACGAACAGCCCAGCTGAGCCCAGCCCGTGTCCCCACAGGCCGTGTCCCTGTCCCATGTCCCCCTCTCACCCTGAGCGTGTGGTCCTGGCTGCCGGTGACGAGCCGCCCGGCCGCCGCCTTCAGCGCCGTGATGGGTTTGTGGTGGGCACAGGGCACGCTGTGGGTGAGCTGGCACAGCACCACGGCACCCCCGCTCAGCACCGGTGATGACGGCACGCTGCTCCGGCCCGGGCCCCCTGCACAGACACAGGGGAGCTGCATTCCAGGGAACCTGGGGCTGCTCCTCCGGGGAACCCTCGGGCTGGAGCTACAGCGGCTCAGGGCTCACGAACAGCCACAGTGAGGGGCTCAACAGAGTTATGGAATCACGGAATAGGGGGGGATGGGAAGGGACCTGGAAGATCATCCAGTGCCACCCCCTGCCATGGGCAGGGACACCTTCCACCAGCCCAGGTTGCTCCAAGCCCCGTCCAACCTGGCCTTGGACACTTCCAGGGATCCAGGGGCAGCCACAGCTTCTCCGGGCAACCCCACCCTCACAGGGAGGAATTTCTTCCCATCTAAATCATCCACTCCAGAACTGAAGGAACCCCTGTGCTCAAAGCAGTTACTCCCTCAGAGCTGTGGCTGTGCTGAGGCCCTGGGCTGGGAATGAGTGAAAACTGAGAGAAATAAGTGGGAGAGGAAGGAGGTAAGGGCAGAGCTGACCCTGGGAGCACACTGGAGCCTCCAGCCCGGAGCCTCCAGCCCCTTGCCTTGGGGAAAACCAGCATGGGGATGGAATCCCTGCACAGGGAACTGCCCCAGAACCCCTCACCCCTGGCGGCAGAGGGTGCCCTTACTGCTCAAGTTGGAGAGGGTGTGAGAAGAGTCAGCCCCAAAGAGGAAGAGGGAGGAGGAAGAGGGAGGAGCACAGGGCAATGCAGACACTCCCACCCTGCTCACCTCGGAACTGCAGGTGGTTCAGGGCCGCGTGTGTCTCCAGCGAGAAGAAATCCAAGGAGCCGTTCAGCCGGGCAGCCACGATCCTGAGGGGAAACGGGGGTGAGGAGAGGCCCCCCCGAGCCCCCAGACTGGGCAGAGCACGGAGCACCCACTCCTGGGAGGAACTGCACCAACAGGGCTGGGAGATCACAGAGCTCAGAGCCCCCTGCCCCATGGCAGCACCTCTGCAACAACAGCCACGGGAACCAGTGACCCAAAGCTCTCCCAGCCCTGAAACCTTCTGGATATTCTGCTGCTGGGGAGACTGAAGAATGAACAAGTGGCTGCTGGAGCAGACCTGACCTGGAGCCAGAAGAGCTGGTGAGAGGTGGACACAGGGAAGGGTATGGCTGGATATAAGGCTGGATCTCAGGAAAAGGTTCTTTTCCCAGAGGGTGGTTGGGCACTGCCCAGGCTCCCCAGGGCAGTGGGCACAGCACCAAGGCTGCCAGAGCTCCAGGAGCGTTTGGACAACGCTCTGAGGGACAGAGTGGGACTGTTGAGGTGTCTGTGCAGGGCCAGGGGTGGGACTGGATGATCCTTGTGGGTCCCATCCTACTCAGGACATTCCATGGTTCAGCTCCAGCTGAGCCTGGAGCTGCTGTGGAGCTCAGTGCTGGGTCCTGGCCCACCCTGGCAGGGGATCTCCAGCCCGGCCCAAGGAATTACCTGTTGTTGAGGAAGACGAGGGCCGTGATTCCGGACTGTCCCTCCTCGTTGCTGCTGCAGAGGGTGCCCTCGATGGCATCCCACACCTGGGGGAGGAGGGCTCACTGTGACCAGGTAACAGCTCCCTGGGCTGTGCCCCTGGAGCTGCGTGACCTCCACCTTCCCGTTACCGTGTCCCTGCCCATCCCCTCCCCGTTCCCATCACCCCAGCCCTGCTCCTCACCTCCAGTT